TGGTATTTCATAAGAAATATTAAATTTAAAAGAAAATATTTACTTTTAGGGCTAATTTTTATAAATACTGGTTTTTGAAAACTAGTATTTGTTCAGAAATCCTTTAAAAATACTGGATTTCATTTAATAAGTTTAATTTAAAAACAAATATTTATTTTTAGGGCAAATTTTCAACAATATTGTTTTTTCGAATACCAGAAATTGTGTAAAAAACCAGTATTTTAAAAAAATATGTTACATTTTTAAAGCTAATTCGCAGTTTTAGTTAATCTTTTCAAAATAACTAGTTTTATACAAATTTCAAAAATACTGGTTTTTCTAAAAAGTTTTTTAAAACCAGTTTCTTTCTTCCGAAATAGCTTAGAAAAACAGTATTTCATGAGAAATTGTTAATTTTAAAGCCAATATTTCATTTTAGAGCAAATTTTCAAAAATACTGTTTTTTTAAAAACCAGTATTTTTCAGAAATTGTTTAAAAATTCAGTATTTTATAGGAAATAGTTAAATTAAAAGCAAATATTTGATTTTAAGACAAATTTTCCAAAATATTGGTTTTTGAAAAACCAGTATTTTTTCAGAAATTGCTTAAAAATCCAGTATTTTATAGAAAATATTAAATTTAAAAGCAAATATTTAATTTTAAGACAAATTTTCAAAAATAGTGGTTCTTGAAAAACCAGTATTTTTTCAGAAATTGTTTAAAAATTCAGTATTCTATAGAAAATTTTAAATTTAAAAGCATATATTTCATTTTAAAACAAATTTTCAAAAATAGTGGTTTTTGAAAAACCATTATTTTTTCAGACATAGCTTAAAAATTCAATATTTTATAGGAAATAGTAGATTTAAAAGCAAATATTTCATTTTAAAACAAATTCTCAAAAATACTGGTTTTTGGATTTTTTTTTTTTTTTAATTTTCCTACTTTTTAAAGTGTTTTTTAGTTTTATCTATGTTTTTAATTGCCGCCATTTCTTTTTGTTTTGTTTCTAATTTTTTGTTTTTATAAATTTTGTTTTAAATTTTAAAAAAATAAAATTTTAATATAAAGTTTTTGTTTTTTTATATAAATGTTCTTTTACTTTTTTTGTTTTAAAGGGAGGGAATTCTAAAAATGTATTTTTTTTTCTTAATTTTTGTTTTTTAAATTTAAATATTTTTTTTGTTTTATTTTCCATTTCATGGTAGCTTATTGTGTAACTCGTAGATCTAAAAAAATGTGAGAAATCAGTCCAAGTTTTTTGTTTTTTTTTTTCGTATTATTATTAATAATAATATTTAAAAAAAATTATATATGTTTTTTTTTTGTTTAATATTTTATATACATATTATATTATACAAATATAATATTATTAATAATTGTTTTTAATTTAACATTTATAACATTAGTACTGTGTGTGTGTGTGTGTGTAGTATAATAATAATAGTAGGTTTTTCTTTAAATTTTAGGTTTAAAATTATAAAAAAATTTTAAAAAATCAAAATTTGTTTTTATGAAAAGCTAAAAAAAAGTAAAAGAATGTATTTTTTGTTTTGGTTTTTTTTCACATAATGTATAAATGTTTTCTTTTTTTAATAATTATTTAAGAATATTATAAATATTTCTGTTTTTTTTCCATAATGTATAAGAAATTTTCTTTTGTTTTATAAATACAAGTTTATGTTTTTTGTTTTTTTTTTTACATATAATTTGAAGTTATTAACATTTTGTTTTTGTTTTTTTTAGCATCAACCTATTTACTAATGAAAAAACATTTTTTTTTATATATTTTTTTGTTTAACAATCTTTACTCTCAGTTTTTTTTTTTTTTGTTTAAATGAATGCATTTTATAAATTTGTGATTTTTTTTTTCTTTTTTGTTCAAAAGCAAACACTTTTAAAGTGTTTCTTGTTGTTTAAGTGGAAATTTGAAAACATATTTAAACCCGGCTGTTTGGAAAATTGTTGTTTATTAAGTAATTTTTTTTTATAAAATTATTTTAAAAAAGAAATATTAGTCTTTAAAAGGGAGTTTGTTTTTTCAGAAATATTTCAGAGTTTTCTTTAAATTTTTAGTTTATTTAACATAATTTTTGGTTGTTTTTTTATTAAAATTTGGTTAAAAAAGTACTTTTTGCTTAAAGTACTAAAAATAGGTTTTTTACTAAAATTTCTTGCGTTATTTAAAGTTATTTTTCCTTTAGACTGTAGACTAGACCATAGATTAAACTATAGACGAGACCCTAGACTAAACTATAGTCGAGACTATATACAAAACTATAGTTCAACTACAGACTAAACTGTAGTCTAACTAAAGACTAAACTATAGTCGAGACTTTAGACTAAACTTTCGTCGAGACTATAGACTAAACTTTCGTCCAGACTATAGACTAAACTATAGTTCAAATATAGACTAAATTACAGTGTAATTATAGGTTAAACTATAGTCTAATTATAGGTTAAACTATAGTCAAGACTGTAGTCTTAACTATAGACTAAATTATAGTTGACACTATAGACTAAACTAGGGTCCAACTATAGACTTAATTATAGTCGAGATTATAGACTACACTATAGTCGAACTATAGACTATACTACAGTCGGACTATATACTAAACCATAATAGAGACGATATTCTAAACCACAGTTCAACTATAGACTAAATTATATTTTAACTATAGGCTAAAGTATAGTCGAGCTATAGACTAAACTATAGTCTAACTATAGGCTAAACTATAGTCCAACTATAGACTAAAATATAGTAAGACTATAGCCCAAACTTTAGTCGAGACTATAGACTAAACATTAGCCGAGACTATAGACTAAACTATAGTCCATTTATAGACTAAACTATAGTTGAACTATAGTCGAGCTATAGACTAAATTATAGTCGAACTGTAGACTAATCTATAGTGGAACTATAAACTAAACTATAGTCTAAATATAGGCTAAACTGTAGTACAACTAAAGACTAAACTGTAGTCGAGACTATGGACTAAACTACAGTCGAACTATGGACGAAACTATAGACTAAACTATCGTCGAAACTATAGAGTAAACTACAGTCCAACTATAGACTAAACTACAGTCCAATTATAGATTAAAGTATAGTCGAACTATAGTCGAGATTATAGAGTTAACTACAGTCCAATTTTAGATTAAAGTATAGTCGAACTATAGTCGAGATTATAGAGTTACCTACAGTCTAACTATAGCCTAAACTATAGTTCTACTCTAGACTAAACTATAGTCTAACTATAGACCAAATTATAGTGTAATTATAGGATCAACTTTAGTCTAGTTTTAGGGTAAACTATAGTCAAGACTGTAGACTTAACTATAGTGGAGACTATAGTCTAAACTATAGTTGATACTATAGACTAAACTAGAGTCCAACGATAGACTTAATTATTGTCGAGACTATAGACTACACTATAGTCTAATTATAGACTAAACTATAGTCCAACTATAGACCAAACTACAGTCGAAACTATAGTCAAACCATAGATTAAATGTAGTTCACCTATAGACTAAACTATAGCCAAACTATAGACTTGAACTATAGTCGAACTATAGACTAAACTATAGGCAATACTTATAGTCTAGCTATAGGCTAAACTAAACTATAGGTCAACTATAGACTAAACTATAGTCCAACTGCAGACTAAACTATAGTCCAATTGTAGACTAAACTATAGTCGAAAATATTGACTAAAATATAGTCAAACTATACGCCTAACTACAGTTCAACTATAGTCTAACTACAGTCTAATCTATAGTCAATACTAGAGACTAAACTATTGTCGAGTTATAGACTAAACTATAGTCCAACTTTAGACTGCATTATAGTCAAACTGTAGACTAGACTATAGTCCAACTATAGACTAAACTATAGACAATACTATAGACTAAACTATAGTCCAACTATAGGCTAAACTATAGTCCAACTACAGGCTAATCTATAGTCAGGACTACAGACAACTCTATAAACTATAGTTGAATTATAGACGAAACTATAGTCGAACTATAGACGAAATTATAGTCCAACGGTAGGCTAAACTATAGTCGAGACTATAGACTAAACTTTAGCCGAGACTATAGACTAAACTATAGTCCAACTATAGACTGAACTATAGTCCAACTATAGACTAAACTTTAGCCAAGACTATAGACTAAACTATAGTCCAACTATAGACTAAACAATAGTAGAAACTATTGACTAAAATATAGTCAAACTATGGGCTAAACTATAGACCAACTATAGACTAAACTATAGTCAAGACAAGAGACTAAACTATAGTTAAACCATAGACTAAACTATAGTCGAACTATAGACTAAACTATAGTCCTAACTATAGACTAAACTATACTTAAACTATAGAATAATCTACAGTCGAAATATGGACTAAACTATAGTCGTTACTATAGACTAAACTACAGTTGAAAAGTTTACATTTAAAAACTTTACTTTAAAATAAATTGTTTCTAAAATTTTTTTTTCATAAATTGAAGTACTTCTTGTGGTACAAAAAACTAAATTTTACTAAAAATTTGACATGATATTTTATTAAATATAGAAAACTTTAAGAAAATTTATTAATAACATTTTAACATAATGTTTTATAAATAAAAGTTTAAATAAATTTCTCTCTAATTAAAAGCTGCTTCATTAAAAACGTTCAAAAATTTTACTAAACATGCATAAAAATTATTTTTAAAAAAAATACTTTAAAAAGTACTTATAAATGCTTTAAAAACTTTACTTTTAAATTTTTTTTAAAAATTTTTAACAAAATAAACTAAAAGCCAAGGAAAAAAAACTCTGAAATATTCTGTACTCTTTTAAACAAAAATTTTTTAAAAGCTTTTTAAAATCAATTTTTTAAGAATTGTTTAAATAAAATTGTTAGTTGAAATGCATAAATATATATAAATAAATATCTGGCCGAAAAAATCTTTTTATACTTTCAATGTTATTGGTAACATGCCTGCATATACATTCTTTACTTTTCCTTCGATATTTTCAAAATTCTGCGACCATATTTTAATTAGATGCCTTTTTTGTAAAAAAAATACTCGATAATTTTTTTATTCCTGGTCTCTGGGTCTTACATTCTCAATTCTGTTGAAAACCAAAATAAGAGAACAAAACTATGTTTTCTTGCTCTTCGGTTTTAATTTGTCACTTGCGGTTTCTGTCTCTTGATTTTCTATTAATTTTCATCACTCTTCTATTCCAATTTATGATGATGATGTTGGGCAAAGTTAACGCCACTTGTACTAGAAGTATCTAATAACACAACTCTCTCATTGTCAACAACATCATCATCATCATCAATGTCTTCATCATTGTCTGCTATTACCTCAGGGACGACATTACCACTACCACCACCACCAGTACTCTCCTCATCGTTGGCAATAGTTGTTAATAGCTATTGCTATGCATTATCCGATTGTACCAAACTCATACTCATATCGGTGCCGACATAATCGACGGCTCCACCGTTAGGCGTTGAGCCCGCCGAAGGTGATAACGATGATGAGGATGATGTTGCCATCGAGGTATTTATGGAGGAAGATGAGGTGGCGGCTGCTGAAATGGCCGATGTTGTTGCCTGGGCTTCCTGGGCGGCCTTTTCCGCCTGGGTAGCCTGAATGTGTGACTGCACTGAGGGTGGAATGGCATGAACATCCCAGATCTCTTCGAGGAATTTTGGCAGTTTGCGATTTTTCAATTTCAACGAGAAACACATTTCGGCATTTTGATTGCCCAACGTACGCAGTTCGGTTAGAATTGACAGAAGCTTGGCAAAGAATACGAGACTCATGGGATCGCCGCAATGGCGATTAAGTATGTAAATGCGGAGTGTATCGATGTAGTAACTTTGTATCGCTTCGACTAGTTCGGCTTCTTCGAGACCCGGCCGATCGGAAAAGATCACAATGGCAGTGAGTAGAGCATATTCGACATTGTCCACTTTCATCGAGTACATTTGTCGACAGAAATGCAGCAGATCCTCAATATTATCAGCCATGCCAGCCATTTTATAAGAGTCACGCGTATACGATCGATTATTGGCAAAGAATATCGAATCTGAATTGTGATCGTAACGACGTGCCATTCGCAACATCATAACTTCTGATGAGCAGGCCTAAAGTTAAGGAATACATTTAAAGTTTTAGAGTATATTCTTACTAGGATATATTTCTAGGGCAGTCATACTTACCTTTAATAGTGTTATTTGATCTTCTTGTGGTATTTTGGTAAACGCTGGCAAACCCTTGGCAAATTCCACAATTAATTGTACTGTTAGTATAGTGATTTCCGTTATATGACGAAATGATACATCGTGTTGACTTTCATTTTCATCGGGTGAACTCTAAATTAATAAAAATTTGGAGAAAAAAATATATATAATTAGTAACGTAGGTTGTGGGGCAGGGTCGTAGGAAAGTAGTAGCTCGATATAGAGAAGACTGAAGTTTTCTTTATAGATCAGTCTTAGGCTATGGATCAGACAATGATCTAGACAATAGACCTGACTATAACCTATAATGAAGACCAGACTATAAACGACATCATAGCCCCCACAATAGAACATACTATAAACTAGACTATTGACCATAATGTAGAGCAGACTATAGACAAAACTATAGACCAAATTATATACTAAACAATGCATCAGACTACAGACTAGACTATATACTAAATAATAGACTAGATTATTAGACTATAAACCATATTGGAGATGAGACTATAGACCAGACTATCGGCCAGACTATATACAAGACTATATACTAGAATGTAGACTAGAACCATAGACTAGAATGTACTACATACTATAGACTATAGTAGAAATTATAAACTATAGTCCAGACTATAGACTATAGTCCAGACTATAGACTATAGTCCAGACTATAGACTATAGTCCAGACTATAGACTATAGTCCAGACTATAGACTATAGTCCAGACTATAGACTACAGTCCAGACTATAGACTATAGTCCAGACTTTAGACTATAGTCCAGATTATAGACTATAGTCCAGTCCATAGTCCAGATTATAGACTATAGTCCAGACTATAGACTATAGTGCAGACTATAGACTATAGTGCAGACTCTAGTAGAGACTATAGACTATAGTCCAGACTATAGACTATAGTCCAGACTATAGACTATAGTCCAGATTATAGACTATAGTCCAGTCTATAGTCCAGATTATAGACTATAGTTCAGACTATAGACTATAGTGCAGACTATAGACTATAGTAGAGACTATAGACTATAGTCCAGACAATAGACTATAGTCCAGACTATAGACTATAGTCCAGACTATAGACTATAGCGCAGACTATAGACTATAGCGCAGACTATAGACTATAGCGCAGACTATAGACTATAGCCCAGACTATAGACTATAGTCCAGACTATAGACTATAGTCCACACTATAGACTATAATCCACACTATAGGCTATAGTCCACACTATAGACTGTAGTCCAGACTATAGACTGTAGTCCAGACTATAGACTATAGTCCACACTATAGACTATAATCCACACTATAGGCTATAGTCCACACTATAGACTGTAGTCCAGACTATAGACTGTAGTCCAGACTATAGACTATAGTCCAGACTATAGACTATAGTCCAGACTATAGACTATAGTCCATACTATAGACTATATTCCAGACAATAGAATATAGTCCAGACTATAGACTATAGTCCAGACTATAGACTATAGTCCAGACTATAGACTATAGTCCAGACTATAGGCTATAGTACAGACTACAGACTATAGTCCAGACTATAGACTATAATCCAAACTATAGACTATAATCCAGACTATATACTATAGTACAGCCTATAGACTATAGTCCAGCCTATAGATTATAGTCCAGCGTATAGACTATAGTCCACACTATCCACTATAGTCCTGACTATAGTCCAACCTATAGACTATGGTCCAGTCTGGACCAGACTATAGTCCAGATTATTAGCAATTTCCCAAATTCTTATAAATTACTTAATAACTCTAAACTTACCATTATACGTTTGAGATCTTCCTCGGATGGCTGTTCGTAGCCATCTTGATACCATATTAATTTATATATAACTGCCAATTGATTGTACGATAAAGGAGGTATATTACGAGCTTGACATTTAGCCAAAATGTCTTCAGGTAACAGCTAAAAACAGAAGAAATTAACAAAAATCAAGAAATCTGTTAACTTTCTATAAAAATCCCTTTTTTTCAACTTACCGGACACGTTGGATGTGATGGCGGTTCACATGTCATTAAATCGAGTATTTCCTTTTTAATTTCCGTTGCACACACACTGGTCTGTATTTTATCCTTCTCTTTTTGCGCCTTCTTTTCGCGTCGTTTCATTGCACACTGGTTTTCGGGCACCACACATTCCGGCCGCATGCCCACAGCCAAACATTTTTTCAGCCTACATTCCTGACATTTGCGTCTCATATACATGTCCATTTCGCAGGCATGACCAAATTTACAACAATACACCGCATTTTTGGTAACACTCCGTCGAAAGAAACCCTTACAGCCTTCACAGGTGAGTGCGTTGTAATGGTAACCTGACGCCCGATCACCACACACCAGACACAGTTCCTCTTGTAAACGGGGCGCAGGACCTTTTTTGATTTTCTTAACATCACTAGCATCGCTGGTTGAGAAGCCATTCAGACTGCTCGAGGGTGATAGATCATCACGACCTGTAAAGGGAGAGAAAAAAGAGATCAATTATTAGATATTTATCGGATAAAAAGATCAGCAGTTACGTTCTTATTTGAAACCCCTATTCTAATTTGTATTACATTTCATTTATGCGTATTTTAACTTTAGTTTTGTTATTCAATTTTTCCTTCAGTTTTTAGATTTGAATATTTGAAGGTTTTTTTTTACCTCTCGCTGCCTCAAATAAGCATTTCAATTAGTTACAAAAAAGCGAAGAAAAATCTATGTCGTACAAATAGTATGACGTCAAATTGTTGGGATCTGCATAAATGTTTGTTTATAAATGCTAATAATGTTTTCAATTTTACATAAACAAATTATATGTAAAAAATACAACTCTAAATGGAAATTTTTCTAAAACAGATTTTTCTTTACGAATTTTGGATTGAACAAAAAAGAAATGAAGATCAATTGTTTTATAAAAACAGGCATAAAACAGTAGTTTAATTTTGTTATTAATGTTTTATTTATTTAAATCAACATAAATATTTATTTGATCAAAAAAAATGTAACGGTTTTTTTAAAGGTGTTTAAAAAAGCCGATGATAAAACTAGTTATGGCAAGAAATTTTTATGTCAATGTTAGCATTTGATATAAAATATGTCATGATAGAAGAAAATTATGTTAGAGATCAGTCTAGATTACGAAAAAGTCTATATAAACTAGATTATAATATACCCTATAGACTAGACTATAGACTAGACTAGTCTATAGTCTAGTCTAGTTTAGTCTAGTCTATAGTCTAGTCTATAGTCTAGTCTATAGTCTAGTCTATAGTCTAGTCTATAGTCTAGTCTATAGTCTAGTCTATAGTCTAGTCTATAGTCTAGTCTATAGTCTAGTCTATAGTCTAGTCTATAGTCTAGTCTATAGTCTAGTCTATAGTCTAGTCTATAGTCTAGTCTATAGTCTAGTCTATAGTCTAGTCTATAGTCTAGTCTATAGTCTAGTCTATAGTCTAGTCTATAGTCTAGTCATAGTCTAGTCTATAGTCTAGTCTATAGTCTAGTCTATAGTCTAGTCTATAGTCTAGTCTAGTCTAGTCTATAGTCTAGTCTATAGTCTAGTCTATAGTCTAGTCTAGTCAGTATAGTCTAGTCTATAGTCTAGTCTATAGTCTAGTCTATAGTCTAGTCTATAGTCTAGTCTATAGTCTAGTCTATAGTCTAGTCTATAGTCTAGTCTATAGTCTAGTCTATAGTCTAGTCTATAGTCTAGTCTATAGTCTAGTCTATAGTCTAGTCTATAGTCTAGTCTATAGTCTAGTCTATAGTCTAGTCTATAGTCTAGTCTATAGTCTAGTCTATAGTCTAGTCTATAGTCTAGTCTATAGTCTAGTCTATAGTCTAGTCTATAGTCTAGTCTATAGTCTAGTCTATAGTCTAGTCTATAGTCTAGTCTATAGTCTAGTCTATAGTCTAGTCTATAGTCTAGTCTATAGTCTAGTCTATAGTCTAGTCTATAGTCTAGTCTATAGTCTAGTCTATAGTCTAGTCTATAGTCTAGTCTATAGTCTAGTCTATAGTCTAGTCTATAGTCTAGTCTATAGTCTAGTCTATAGTCTAGTCTATAGTCTAGTCTATAGTCTAGTCTATAGTCTAGTCTATAGTCTAGTCTATAGTCTAGTCTATAGTCTAGTCTATAGTCTAGTCTATAGTCTAGTCTATAGTCTAGTCTATAGTCTAGTCTATAGTCTAGTCTATAGTCTAGTCTATAGTCTAGTCTATAGTCTAGTCTATAGTCTAGTCTATAGTCTAGTCTATAGTCTAGTCTATAGTCTAGTCTATAGTCTAGTCTATAGTCTAGTCTATAGTCTAGTCTATAGTCTAGTCTATAGTCTAGTCTATAGTCTAGTCTATAGTCTAGTCTATAGTCTAGTCTATAGTCTAGTCTATAGTCTAGTCTATAGTCTAGTCTATAGTCTAGTCTATAGTCTAGTCTATAGTCTAGTCTATAGTCTAGTCTATAGTCTAGTCTATAGTCTAGTCTATAGTCTAGTCTATAGTCTAGTCTATAGTCTAGTCTATAGTCTAGTCTATAGTCTAGTCTATAGTCTAGTCTATAGTCTAGTCTATAGTCTAGTCTATAGTCTAGTCTATAGTCTAGTCTATAGTCTAGTCTATAGTCTAGTCTATAGTCTAGTCTATAGTCTAGTCTATAGTCTAGTCTATAGTCTAGTCTATAATCTAGTCTATAGTCTAGTCTATAGTCTAGTCTATAGTCTAGCCTATAGTCTAGTTTATTTTCTAGTCTGTAGCCTAGTCTATAGTCTAGTCTATAGTCTAGTCGATAGTGTAGTCTATAGTCTAGTCTATAGTGTAGTCTATAGTCTAGTCTACCGTTTAGTCTATAGTCTAGTTTATAGTATAGTTTATAGTCCAGGCTATAGTCTAGTCTATAGTCTAGTCTATAGTCTAGTCTATAGTCTAGTGTATAGTCTAGTCTATAGTCTAGTCTATAGTCTAGTGTATAGTCTAGTGTATAGTCTAGTCTATAGTCTAGTCTATAGTCTAGTCTATAGTCTAGTCTACAGTCTATCCTATAGTCTAGTCCATAGTCTAGTCTATATTCTAGTCTATAGTCTAGTCTAGTCTACAGTCTAGTCTAGTCTACAGTCTAGTCTAGTCTAGAATCTAGTCTACAGTCTAGTCTATAGTCTAGTCTATAGTGTAGTCTATAGTCTAGTCTATAGTCTAGTCTATGGTCTAGCCTATAGTCTTGCCTATAGTCTAGCCTATAGTCTTGCCTATAGTCTAGCCTATAGTCTTGCCTATAGTCTAGCCTATAGTCTATTCTATAATCTTTAGTCTAGTCTATAGTCTAGTATGTATATAATCTAGTCTATAGTCTAGTCTATAGTCTACAGTATAGTCTAGTATAATCTTTAGTCTAGTCTATAGTCTAATCTATAGTCTAGTCTATAGTCTAGTCTATAGTCTAGTCTATAGTCTAGTCTATTTTATAGTCTAGTCTAGTCTATAGTCTAGTCTATGGTCTAGTCTATAGTCTAGTCTATAGTCTAGTCTATAGTCTAGTCTATTGGCTAGTCTATAGTCTAGTCTATAGTCAAGTCTATAGTCTAGTCTATAGTCTAGTCTATAGTCTAATCTATAGTCTAGTCTATAGTCTAGTCTATAGTCTAGTCTATAGTCTAGTCTATAGTCTAGTCTATAGTCTAGTCTATAGTCTAGTCTATAGTCTAGTCTATAGTCTAGTCTATAGTCTAGTCTATAGTCTAGTCTATAGTCTAGTCTATAGTCTAGTCTATAGTCTAGTCTATAGTCTAGTCTATAGTCTAGTCTATAGTCTAGTATATAGTCTAGTCTATAGTCTAGTCTATAGTCTAGTCTATAGTCTAGTCTATAGTGTAGTCTATAGTGTAGTCTATAGTCTAGTCTATAGTGTAGTCTATAGTCTAGTCTACCGTTTAGTCTATAGTCTAGTTTATAGTCCAGGCTATAGTCTAGTCTATAGTCTAGTCTATGGTCTAGTCTATAGTCTTGTCTATAGTCTAGTCTATAGTCTAGTCTATAGTCTAGTCTATAGTCTAGTCTATAGTCTAGTCTATAGTCTAGTCTATAGTCTAGTCTATAGTCTAGTCTATAGTCTAGTCGATAGTCTAGTCTATAGTCTAGTCTATAGTCTAGTATATAGTCTAGTCTATAGTCTAGTCTATAGTCTAGTCTATAGTCTAGTCTATAGTCTAGTCTATAGTCTAGACTATAGTCTAGTCTATAGTCTAGTCTATAGTCTAGTCTAGACTATAGTCTAGTGTATAGTCTAGTCTATAGTCTAGTCTATAGTCTAGTCTATAGTCTAGTCTATAGTCGAGTCTATAGTCTAGTCTATAGTCTAGTCTATAGTCTAGTCTATAGTCTAGTCTATAGTCTAGTCTATAGTCTAGTCTATAGTCTAGTCTATAGTATAGTCTATAATCTAGTCTATAATCTAGTCTATAATCTAGTCTATAATCTAGTCTATAATCTAGTCTATAGTCTAGTCTATAATCTAGTCTATAGTCTAGTCTATAATCTAGTCTATAGTCTAGTCTATTGTCTAGTCTATTGTCTAGTCTATAGTATAGACCATAGCCTAGTCCATAGCCTACTCCATAGTGCAGTTTATAATCATATCTTTAGTCCTGACTAAAGCCTAGTTTAGGCTTTAGTTTAGTACCTATTTTTTGTCTTTCCAAGAATCTTCTTTAGCCCACATTTTGTTACTTTAATTTTAGTTTAGGGTGTGGTTCCAATATATCATTTTCTTTTTAAATTACTTTTACTTGTCATTTTAATTCATAAACAAGGTACATTCTTTATATTTCGTTTACTTTTTTTTTCCTATAAATTTTTAATCTCAAAACAAATCATATAAAAGCGGCGACAAGTGCATTAAATATCAATTCTATACTTTGCTCTGTTTCCCTTTTGATTTTCTACCCACTTTTCCATAACAGAAAAACAAAGTGTTGAAAAAAAAATTATAAACATTTTCTTCATTGTTGTAATTCTTTTAGGATTTCTTTTTATTGTTGTATTGCTATGAGCTGTGATATATATTGCTAAAGCTAAATGCATATAAAAGATACAAAAAGAAAACAAACTTATAGATATATAGTTAAATGTACTTGTACAAATGATACACATAATATTACTACTATAATCGAGTGACTAGATACATATTACATCTAGAAGATACATACATACATACATGCATTTATAAACAAATATACATATAGATGGATACATATATAGTAGGTATGGTTGAGTAGATGTATAAAGATACTTGTAGTGTAACATTAAGATATGTTTGTAACTATGTATCTATCTGGTATCTAGTATCTCGTGATGTGTGTCTGTTGGTTTGTTTATATGTATAGTATATGTGTGTGCACTTGAACTGCATTCACATCTATAAATACTTTTACGTACTATTATTGCTGCTGTTGCTGCTACTGAGAGCTACATGCCATGCAACACACAAACACACA